TTTTTAATGAAGATTGATGTGCTAGATGCATGTTTTGCTTCAGTGTGCTAGATGCATGTTTTGTTTCATGTTAAGCCTTTTTTTTTTTCCCTAGCAATAGCAGGGGATAACTATATGATCCATGCAGCAAAAATACTGAAGGAATTTCCAGTGTGAAGACTGTTTGTTGTCCAGGCACTGAAGATCACCTTTGCTCTTGCATGCTGCATCTTCAAGTCTTTCATGTTAACAGCGAATAATGCTGCCAGCAAGTGACACGAGTTCTCAAAGAATCACCAGTTCAGAAGTACCCCCAGTGCCTTCCAGCAGTCTAGGGACAGGGTTTTGTGATTTTATTTATTACAGGCAGAATTTTTCTGCATCATATTGAGTTTCTCGTAAGATGTTTCATTTGTCCCAGTGAACATATATTCCAACTTTTTCAACTATGCCATGGTCTTGCCACTTTAAATCTGAAGTACGAAAACTGTGTCAAGTCCTGAAGAACATATAGCCGTGACAGACTTTCTGTACATCCTTTTCTGGATGCCAGTAATTCTGGCATGGTCAACACTAAGATAACAGAAAGGCATTTCAGAAGAACTGCAATAAGCATAAACCAGAAGAAAGATTACAACTAACTTTTCTTGATATGGCATTACTTAGAAAGATAGTTTTGGGGGTGATTCAAAGTGGGGATTTAATTTGACCCAAAATAAAATCTGTGAGACTTGGGAACCAAACTTTTGCAAAAGTTCTTTATCATAATTTTGTGGGAGAGTCCAAGCCCCAGCTTTTTCTCCAAATAAAGAAAAAAAATTTTGAACCTTTGGCTATTTTTTAGTTTGCAAGACTAATGGCTTGATATTTGAAAAACAGAGTGTAAGTGCCAAATGTTTTAAATATTTGAAGACTTATTCCCTCTCAGAAGGTATTTTTTAACTTAAAAGAATATCCTTTCCCCCAGAACCAATTTTGATTTAGCATATAATAGTAGGATGGTTAGATTTTTTTTAGAAAATGGAGACAGGAGGGCAAATTGCTAATTTGCTCTGGTAATGACAGAGGATCTTTTTCATAATGGTGTAAAAGTTGAGGAGAAAGCAATTTCAAAGTAGGATGCTGCCTTACAAGCGTGATGTATTTATCCAGTATGTGATACTGTCAAAGTCATTCTGTTCTCAGAGGAGTGTTCAAGAGTTTTCATAACAAAGCAGAAGACTAGGAGTTTTCCTTATAAAGTTATTCCTATTTTCAAATACTGCTTAACAGCCAGAAATGATCTAGCAATACTAAGACATAAGGAGAGAGTTATGGAAAAAAAGTTTTTCACGGTAACATAGTATTTTCCATTAACAATTTTCACATTGTGACACACATCACACCGAGGAGCACCTAGCCTCAGGGTTTTGCTACTCATCACAGCACCTTCAGCTTCAGCTTGGTGTCTGATGCAGAAGCACTGTGGAAGAAGGAGTGATGGGAAGAGCCTGCCAATGCTGAACTGCCCACGCAGAGCATGCACAGTTCACATACACCACAGCCGTGGGAACATATGCTTGAAGAGGACATCCAAGGAACAACATAGGAGCAGAACTGCTTGCACACCTCATGCATGCCTTGGCATTGGTCTCTTAAAACCTTGCCTCTTCTCCTTATGGGATTTTTTGTTTTTCTTCCAGTGTTTAGCTCAGTTGCTAATCTCTTAGTACTATGAGTCACCTTCCATCGGAGTGGCCTGTGCAAATGACAGATCACATTCATCACTGGAGAAGTCCAGATATGTAACTAAGGGGAAAAGTCTGAGCTTTGGAGTCAGATAAAGAGAATATTTCAGCTAATGAATCAGGCTAACATTATGTAGCAGCTGAGTCCAGAGGCTTTTGTGCAATATCCTGTAATCCCGAACTGTTGAATTAGATGTTCTGGCCTGGGAGAACCCAAAGACATTGTTTTAAATATCTCAATTAACAATCTCACTGAACAATAAGGAAGCTGCTAGACTTTGTCTTTCACATGTCAATGTTTGGTCTTGAAGAAATGTAATTGTAGCTGATCGAGACATCTGAAGTAATAGACATTTTCTGCACACTTGGACAGAGAGTGCATGAATGTGAATATCAACCCTGCCTTGGGCCAAAAGGCAGTGCCACCAGCTCTGAGTGAATGCTGTGTGGCAGACAAGATGCTCTCATTCAGAAAGGATACTGCACATTAATGTTATCTTGTGTGATGAACAGGTCTTAGTAATTACTTTTTCATTCTCATTAAGGCTTCATCTGAAGTGCACATTTTCAACCCTGCTGCCCTTTAAAGGGCAAGACTACTAAATAGGTGGTGTGTGAAGGAAACTACAGAGAATATCAACTATTGAAAAATTCACTAGGGTGTTACCCTTCATGACCACACAGTTTAAAAGGAGCTGGAATTTATGGTGAAATCAGGAGCATTTTTTTTGCTTAATTTCCCAGTCTGCATCTGCTTATATACCTGCAAATACAAAATTCCACCCGAGAATTAGAGGTGACAGAAATCAAAGGTTATGCACTTCTATGTGGCCAAAGCTATGTGATGAATTTAATATAAAGATATCCTCAAAAGATCACAGCTCAAGCTATTCCACGGTCGATAGAAAGTGTTAAACATTCTTTAAAAAATGGCAATTCCCTTGGATGAATCCTTAAATAGGGTTATGATTAAATCGGACATTTGGGAATAAGCTGGAAACTGGCAAATACCTCGTTTAGATTTATGATTCCAAAGCCAGTACTGCTGAGCTCAGCAGCAGTCCCCCAGCTCACACCAGTTTTTATCAGTTACAAAACCAATCTGCACTGTATTTCAAGCTCAACACAGGCACACGGGGAAATGGGATGCATTTTGATTTTCAGGCTGAAATTTGATTTACTCAGATGTGTGTGTCCTCTTCTCTCCTGCTCCAACATACTGGGGATTTTACTGGTTCCTACTGGTACAGGTTAAGGTATTCCTACCATATATTCATGACAATCCTGTTATATATGGTATTTTCCACTCAGCCCGTTCTTACCTTTTCTTTTTTTTTTTTTTTTTTTTTTCTCCTTTCTCATTTGACCTACCTCAGATGATAGGAACAAAGAGTACTACTGAAACTCTAAGTTTGAAACTTCTACGAGCCTGCACCTTTTTGTAGTTCACCTGCAGCCAACACCAGCCTCTGAGCTGTGGCAGCAAACATTCACCTGCCAACCCATTCAGCCGAAACTGCTGTTAACCAGCCTGGATCACTGAAAGAATAATCCATAGAAGATTTTTGTAAATTTTCCTGAAAAGCAGAATTCCTCCATCAACACAAACCTGCAGCATTATGGAAGTCATGTATCCTTGGGCACAGCCAAGGGTGGGAGGGCCTCTGCAAGTAAGCAACACATCCTAGCAGATTAAGTGAGCTGCTCTGCTTTCATTGGCTGAATGAAACTGTAAGGTAGCTTCAGGATGGTTTTTGCTGGAGATGCCCAACATTTATGCAATAATTCAGTTTAAGAGTTGATACATTTTTCTGGCTTTTAAAATACAGTAATTGAAAACAAGCCAATTCTTAGAACTACTAATATTGCAGTCAATTGCAGGTGACAGATGACCTCAAACAGTCTAATGAACAACCTCCAGTTAAAGCAAATTTAAAGGACATATTTCTGAGCCTTCTAGGATTTTGATTTCCAATCAATTAAAAAAACCCAGGCTGTTTGCCAAGCTACCTAATAGCACCTATTTCCAGTTGAGATTTTCAGAGTTTAATCACATGTCTGCTGAGATACTTTTGGAAATTACTTTTTTAAAAATAGGAGTATGATTTGGGAACATGTATCCAGGGGTTCACAGAGGAATAAGGTTATATTTCCTTTTTGCTTTTTTATTGAACCATTTGTATCATAAAAGCATTTTTCCTTCATATTTTGAACACTGAGATATGAGTTAACAAAATAAGTATGTTCAAATTTGCCCACAGTCCAAGCCACAACTTCTGCCATAATTTATAGCCACAACTACAGAGTGAAAACGTGCAATAACTTTCAGCAGGTATACTAAGTAACACAGCATACTACTACAAATAGCGTTTAGGCTTGATCTGTTCTACTTATTCTGTTTGTATAGATGTATTATAAACAGCGCTACCCAGGTGTCACTTAGAATTGTATAATCATAGAATCTTTGTGGCTGGAAGAGACCTTTAAGGTCATCAAGTCCAACCATTAACCCAGCACAGCCAAGTCACCACTAAATCATGTCCCTCAGCAACACATATACACACCTTTCAAATTCCCCCAGGGAGGGTGACCCCACTGCTTCCTTCGGCAGTCCATTCCAGTGCTTTAGAACCCTTTCTGTGAAGATATTTTCCCTAATGTCCAATTTAACCCTCCCCTGGCACAACTTGAGGATGTTTCCTCTTGTCTTATCACCTGTTATTGGGAGAACTGACTGATCCCCACCCCATTACAGCTTCCTTTCAGGTAGCTGTAGAGAGCAGTAAGGTCTCCCCTGAGCCTCCTTTTCTCCAGGTTAAACAAACAATTCTCTCAGCTGCTCCTCACATGACCTGTTCCCTAGACCCTGCAACAGCTTCACTGCCTGTCTTTGAACCTGCTCCAACACCTCAATGGCCTTCTTGTAGTGAGAGGCCCAACTTGGAATATATCAAGTTCTTTAAATATTTAAAAAGTTTAGAAACACTTCCGAGAAAGATTAGAGATAATAATGTTATCTGTCAATTTATAATAGAAGTGAAAAAAAAAAAAAGGCAAACATAACTATGCCTCCCATTAGCAGACTAGCCACTGGAGTTTCTCCTCTGCAAAGCTTATATTAGGAGTTCTGTATCAGGAGTTGAATAAATGTGTTGCAATTTTTAGAAGACTTTTGAATCTCTTGTGTCAAGTGGAACATTGACCAAAAAGGTTAAACATGAACTCAAAGACCCATTTTCCTTTGCAAAAATTACTTTTTGCACTTTGTCAGGAGAAAGAGTAAGCTGAACTTACCAAGGGAAAACTGGAGGACAGATGCAGTAGTTGTGTTAAGGCCAGTGGTGGTCTACAGGTAGAAAAGCAAACAGTAAAGAAGTTGTGTTAGAACAGCAAAACAATGTACTCAACAGCTGTTTTTCTTTGAAAGCATAGAAACTCTCTGGATACCTAAATCTCCAGTGCATAAAACTATTGATTGCCAACTCTTTCAGGATGAGTAATCACGGACATTTCTGTTATGGCACTTTGATTATTGGTATCTCATATGTTAAAGCTGGAATTTTTTTTTATTTAATTGCATTAATGTCTACAAAACAAGCAGATCTTCTTGACCAGGATTTAGAAGACTGAAAAAATGAACTGTGTGGTTTATGGTTAGCTTAGTATAAATCTGTACATACAGAAAGTTTTTCACTTCTCCCAGCACAAAACAATAACCAAAAATGATAATAAATAAATAATAAAAATAACATGAGGCAAACCTAAAATGATAAAATGAAATATTAACAGAGAATAACATAAATCTAACTAATCAACAGCAAAGCAAAAAAACCCTTGGTGTTATTGCATAATATATACAACAGAATTTTGTAGTAGCACCTACATACAATTGACATACAACCTAGAGCTAGAAATGGGCAGAAAACACTGAGCAGCTCACTCTGTATTCATCACATCACCCTCCTTTGAGGCCTTCTGTTGTCCTTTCTTTCAATGCCACCAGTTTCAGTAGTTCAAATTAGGAATGTTTTCCTGAAAAGCACTCAGGTGTTGTGAAGGGCATGTATTTATTTTCAATTCATTTGGTAAGTTGGACTTAACGATACTGCTGCATAACAAGCAAGGCAGAAGCACTGCCTAAAAACACTCCCTGATCTCATTATTTTGTCAAAGAGCTGGAAAATCTTTGCAACTGTTCAGCAAGCAGAAAGACCAACTGGAAAATCACTTCAAAAAGAGTAGATTCAAAGTTTGGTTTATTTACTTTAGCAAAAAGCCCATCAAAGATACAGTTTATCATTGCAAGTAGATTTCAGAGACTATTGAAAGAGTAACAATGTTCAAGCTGAAAGACAATGGCGATGTTAGATCAAAAGAGAAAAAGAAAAAAGGCATGATCTGGTAGATGGTTAAGTTTACACAATTATAAAAGAAGTCATCTAATTGGAAGAACAGGGACAACAAACACCTTAAATAAAGGCATACGGTCTTGTTGCCAGTAATGCCTGCATCCTAGATCTCAAGACTCTGGAGTTATCTTCCCATGTTAGAGCCTACGCACCAATAATTCATGTCATTTCCCATGAAAAAATCGACAGACTCTTCCATTAGACGTGCTCCTTCTGATCTGCATCCACGCACTACATTGTACGGTGGTTATGTCCTGGAGAAGTTAAAATTCTGGGCAAGTTTAGCCCCAGAATTTAGGTCCTAGGACTAGCAGGCTGTGGCTGCCAGGGGTCAGTTGGGAATCTGCATGGAGGCAGCTCCAAGAAGAGCACCCAGGCGACTTGAATGATCCTCCTGCTTTGTTTGTGTGAGTGATGTAGAGGAAAACAAATAGTAGTTAAGAATAAAAAAAAAAGTAGCAATCTGCAAAATACAGATAAACATTTGAACTCAGGGACACTAAATTGTCATTTTCTGAAAAAGCCAGCACCCAGGTAAAGACTAGACTCAACGACTTGGAAGATGTTACACTCTTTCAAGTGGCCATTAACTATGGCAGTAATACAAAGGCAATTTTATCAGCATTTTTTAATGATGAATAGTACAATTTCTGCATAATTTCCCTGAGTCACGTGCTGAAAGCAGAGATTAATTATCTACTCTGCAGACAAACATGAAAACTGCTGAGAGAGATCTCTCTCATATTTCAAGTCCCTTATTACTCTGTGCATCACTGCATGGCATTGAGCAAAAGCTAGTCCTAAATGCAGATGTTCTGACTACTATTTAGGACTCTTGACACAGAACAAATGTATCTCTCAGTCATCTATATTGGCTTTTCTGTCTTTGGAGACCTCCAAAAGAATTTCCATATCTTTGCAAATGTGTATTCAGAATGTATACAATTAAAAAAAATCTAGGTGATAGCTCCATCCATTCCCTTCCATGTACAAACATCAGCTTTTGGGTAGCTACACGTTAAATCATCTTGAACAGTTGACTTCTGTTAAATTAATAGTCATTTTCATTTGCAAGTCCATTTTAACTTGTATTCACATTCTGGTGTGGTTTGCCATGCAGCCCACCAATGCTCATATGAATACCATATCTCTTCAAGGCAGGAGGGGACAGGCAGTGATGCAGAAGGGCAAAAGGGACTGCACTTCTTAGAGTGCCAGTGTGTACCTTGTTCAGTTAGTCATGAAATGGTGCCTTTAAAAATAATGAGTGGAGTTCTGCAAGAGCTGGCATGAGTGTTAAATGTCCTTTTTTCCTTTACTACATACATACCACCACAGAGAGGAATTTCTTATGAATATTAAAGAATGGGATCTTCAGTGAAATGAACTGGAGATTAGCTGATAACAAGACAACAAGTGCTTTGGGAGGATGCATGGAAATCTAGGAAATTTATCACAGCTATTAGTGTTCTGTGAACTAAGACAGGTTCAGTGGGATGGAGTCCAAAGGTTTCACAATAATCTCAAACAGTAACTTTTAAAACTACCTGAAAATCTGAAAATATCTGTATATAACATTTACTTAAAATACAGTTTTCCTTTTTTTGAATATTCCTAACAGGCAATTTTAATCTGTAAACAAAAATAAAGAAGCTGCATATACATAACTCCTTTAAAGAGACAATCACACACCCATTTAAGTCCATTTTGTCAGAATCGACTTGGTATTAGCTACCACACTTATCATGCCAAATAGTAAAGTGGTTTCTGACTTGAGTTATGAGTACCTATTATATTAGTTTGCATTCAATTAATTATGTTGTGCAAGTTCTAATTTGAAAATGAAAACCTTTATCAGTGTTCCGTGGCTCATATCACCAAAAAATTAAATGTATCAATTATCACAGAAGAGGCATTCATGTGGACTTCAAAGAGACCGTGTTATGAAACATTTCAGTAATGCTTCGGAAAAAAGCACTACACTTACTAGAAACATTTTGCAAAGTTCTGCAAAGGACTGCTAAGTTCAGATGCTGCAGAGAGGCTGGTAGAGAGCCTTTAATAGCTATTTTCCTTTGCTTGCAATACCTCTGACACTATACACCTTTTCAGGATTTTGCCAGTGGTAAATTCTCACCAACAGACACAGCTGACATTAAAAAACCTCTGCCTGCAGTAACAGTCAGCGGCTGGGAGCCAGGAGAAGAGAAGGAGGTCAAGGAAGCAAACCAGAAGCTGTCACATCTGTTGATAAAATACATTTTACAAATTCAACTCTTCTCGGCTAAGTATTTTAAAGCAATACTGTGGCACTAGGAGCCGTGAACAGGAACAGAGATTTCAAGATCCTTTTCAAGCAGGGACAGAATAGGATTCAAATAGTAAAATTATTAGAATAAAAATGCATAATGATTGGAGGAATGAAACAGGTTTTAAAAAACTATGGCAGGAAGCGGTATGCTGAAACATGGCTACAAATCAGAAACAGGTTGGTTATAAGAAAATCGGGACTTAAACTTACATCTAGACTCAAAAATAAAACTAGGTCAGACTTCTGGCATGAACACCACCCTGCGCTCATCCAAAATGTTAAGCTGTTAGCATGTTCCTTCAGAAGGATTTGATTTTTTTTGCAACACTGCCATAATATTTATAAACACTTTCATTATTAGGCTGCTAACTGTTTATAAGTATGATGATTTTTTCGGCTGATTATTTAATCACACCACTTTGGCATCATAATAATTTTTTTCCAAGTTCCTGATACATGCTATTTTACCACATGGTAATGTAAAAAATACAGTCCATCACTGGATTTTGAAGCCAATTCATGATTACTAAGGATAGTCTAAATTACATATCAGCAGGGAGAAGATAGCTAATTAATGACATTTCAAAACCATCAGAGCTGGAACCCTGGGTTTGCCAGATGTCATCAGTGTTTTTCAAGGAGTATTACCTATGCTCAATGCTACAACTAAAAATGAGTTTAAAAATTGGGAAAAAAAATCCAGTGGTGTGACTTCACTTTTGCACGGGACATAAAACAATGTATTTCTTCTCAAGGCAGCTAATGAAGCATAGTACATTCAAATAGGATTCAAAGTAGTAGAGAGGCAATTTAGCATCCCTGTAAGGATTCCCAAGCTGGAGCCGGCTGTGAGGGAAATGACTGAAATTCTCCTTTATCCATAAAATTTCTAAATTAGTTTTATGTCTGTTTAGGACTTTCATACCACATCATCAATATGTACATTGGATTGTGGCATTCTGGTGTCAGTTAAGGATGTAAAATTAACCCAGGTAAAAGAATTGTCAATGTCTGAAGTGAAGAGAAGATGCCTGGCCAAAACCACTTCTGGTTTATGACCCACTTCCATGTGCACTCTTCCAATAGCTCTAATCAGCCTCTCCCTTCACTCAGAAGACTATAGAAAACATGAAAATTAATTTTGAATTACACAGGCTTTGAGCTGGCCTTTTAATTTTTCAGTTCTTTCCAAAACTACCATTTTATGTGCCTCGTTGCAGCTAGCTGCCCAGCATCAGCATGTGTACATTGGTTATATATCTTCCATTTTCTGCACTCAAGTCAACGCAAATTGCACCATGTTGTTTCTTATAGCAATTTCATGACCAAACTACCCCCCCCATAAAATTAATTCTGTCCCCTTCATCATGACTCAATTTGTTGCACACACTTTCCTGAGACTGGCAGGTGATTGCTCCAGGATGCATTTAAGTCTGAAGGATTCATTGTTCAAAAGTGATGTTTTACAACCAAATTAACATTTATCAACAGCGACAAGGAAAAACAGGACACGGCTAATAAAATAAGAGAAGAAAAATGAACCTTCTCTCTGTTTCAGTGTTGGAAATAAGAAAAGAATGATGTCACTTTGACAACACAAGTTCTATTTACCTGACAGCAAGTAAAATGACTTGGATGCATGCTGGATCAAGAGATTTCCCTTGCAAACTATTGCAATAGACTTTGGTTAGCATCTAACCAGGATATTCCTGGAGTGCTCTTCTGTGGCCGTATCGCCTTCCCTATGAGCCTGTCCACCGAACACCAAACTTTCAAAGCACACCAACACCTCTGCAGCAACACAGCCTTGATTCATAGCTGCAGTCCCAGCCCCAGCAAATAATCCAGCCTTCACTTACCAGTTCTCTGGGACCATATGGCTCACAGAAAGTGACGGCGTTGCCATGCATTATCACACCACACTGCTCTCCAACCTCACAGTTACTGCATTCAGACCTGCGGGAAGAACATACCATGTTCAAACTGAAAATCAGAAACCATAAATTTGAGACCACATCCAACTTGTAAGCTGTAAAATAAAAGAATTATATCTTGATGCTCAGACAAATTGGACTGTTTTGTAATCATGGCGCTGAACATAAAGGTTGAACAGTTGTACATATGATGTACTAGAACTGCTTCTCAAGAAAGACCCTTGTGAATAAGTACTGGCTCTCTGTAAACTGTTCCTCCTCCAAAAATTAGTATCCCTGCTCATCAACTGCAAAACATCACACCATGGGAAACCAAGGTGAACTCTTACATGCATAATTTACCCTTGTCATGGTTACAGGGGCTGGGACCAGTTTATCCTTATGTGGGTAGAACCAAAACTGTATATTCTATACTCTCTATGTCAGTGCTCATGGGCTGTTAAGAAAATCATGGGTAGCAGCTGCCCAGGACAGACCTCACACCCCAGGCTATAACAGATAAGGAAAGAGGTTCAAGGTCAGGGGAGATGTTAACACCTTCCCACCCAGCAGGAGGAGTCCTCCCTGTTAATGGGCCCATCCATGCCTCGCCCCATGACTCATACAGAACTCCCTCCAGGAGCTATTTCTGTTTAATGGACCATCAAGGACCCACTGCATGACTCATAGACTGATATCAACCCATTGTGAGATGCTCCACCCAGGAGGAGGAGCCAAGTGCTCCCACCTGGATATAAACTGGGGTTAAGTACAGCACAGGGGGCCTTACCCACTGGATTTCCAGAGGACAAGAGCTACCAGATCTTTTCTACGAGACCACTGTTTCATCTGGACTGCTACCACCACCCTAACGACAGAGTATCAGGTTGTATTCTGACTCTGTCTGTGGTTTTCCTTTGTATTATTGCTTTTATTTTATTTTTTTTTCTTATTAAATTGTATTTCTGACTTGGAGTCTCTCGCTGGTTTGTTTTCAAACCATTACAACCCTGAAGTTAGTCTTCTTCCAAAATCCTTACTACACATTTGGTAAACCATATGTAAACCCACCATCATGGAGTTACCATTTAGAGCAGCTCAGGAGAAGTGGTTAGGATCACGCCCCCTCCAGCCCACGGGGTTATTTACCCCGATGAGCTGACTGAAGGTTGTAAACCCTACCTGAATCTAAGGCTCCTACAGCCCAGCTGCTACAACACGGGTCTTGCTGCTTATTTCTATTTCTATTTGTCATATCCCACATTCCTAGGAACAGAGTTGCCACACTATTCAACTTTTAGAGGAAAAAGCCTGAAGAAAATCTCAGAGAGGTTGGTAAGTGCCACTGAGCCAACTAGTTGCACTTCTCCTGGCATTAGTTTAGTATGAAGGACTTTGTGGGCAGCCTGACTGCAGAGCAGAGGGTTAGGGCCATCTCCCTTACCTTCAAGAATCATGGAATTGGCTCTTGGCATGAGCAGCATATTTAAAAAAAAAAAAAAAAAAAATTGGAGATTTTCAGAGCCCTTGGCAAAATGCCTGTGATGCAGCAGATCAGCATTGCCTTCGGGCATCCAAAGCTCAGCTTTCACATCAAATCTTCAGACAGATATTTGCTCCCAGAGCAACACTATTGTAAGCAAGGGTGAACTCACTCCAAACCTTCTTATTTCTCGCTGATTTTTGTCAGTACTTTGATAACTGGCATTTTTTGAGTTTGAATTGCAGTAAACTTATGTAAGGGTGTAGGCAGTTTTTCTTTGGCTTCTCCCATGCAGAGTGCCTCAAACTTGACCCGCCATTCTGATGGGTAATGACATTAAAATACACATTCCTATACACACAGCCCAGATGTAGTTTAGTAGCATGCAAAAGTTTGGTTTTCTGCTGTCTTTTCATTCTCTGGATAATTTCTGAATAGCATTACTTACAGGAAATCAGATGGAAAGGAAGAAATCTCAAGGAGATAGGGATTACCATCAATGCATGTGAGAGAGTTTTCAATATTTAATATATAGTTGATTCTTATACAAATTTCCTTACATTTTTTTCACCTCTTTTCCTAGTTTATGTTGCTTGTCTTTTCCATAATAAATATTGTGTTAAACCTCTGCAAGTCCTTCTCTAAACTTCCTGGGGCAGGATTTTTCTATTCCCAAGTATCTGAAAATCATCAGCCCTCCATGGTTCTGAATGGGGCAAATGATATCTCCATCTGCGCTGGGAGGAAGAGGCTGGTAATGTTGTCAGGTACCCCTTGGGGCTTTTCCCTGTAGGGTATGAATCTAAAAGGTCTGAGCATGGGAGGATGGGCTGCTGTGAGCCCAGGTAGTAATTAGAAATAATGTTTAAATTAATTTTTAAAGTATGTGTTTGAGCTACCTCTTGGTCTGCTCCTGTAGCAGACTGGGGTTCCTCACCACTACTCTAGCTGCTCAGTATAGCAAAATGGGCAACTTTTGGCAGAATGGGTTAACTCTGGGCAGTGTACAATACCCTGCAGGTCTGTCAGAGCTAAGCTTTGCTGAGCAATAGATGTTAGGTTTTCAGATGCATAGATGTGGTGAATAATTGATTGCACTTGTTATTTTGGATCTCCTCAGCTGGTCCTGGGTGTATTCAGCACAGAACTGGCTTTCTTATGCCCAAGTCCATTACAGAAGTCAAAAATGAATGCCTTGTTTCCACTTTCTAAATCCCTCCCTTATTCTGAGATTTTATTAAAGGTCAGTTTCAGCTTCGCTTCCCAAAACAAAGTCAGATTTGAAAAATCCCTGAGTTCTTTTCCTGCATGAGCATGTCAACAAAGTCATTCAGCGGTTCATACTAATGGGTCTAGGATACTGAATTTAAGCAGAAAAATTAAATCCATTAATAATGTAGTTCCTATTGACTTCAGTGAGTTAATATTTACTTATAGAGGCCACAGTAGGCCCATAACTCTTATTCTCAATATAAGTCAAGAAGAGAGTGTGTGAGTGAACAAAATTGTACTTTAAGAGAAAGTAAAGAAACAGAGTTCATGAAAGACATTTTTTATTGCTATCTAAATTTCACTTTATCACTAAATTCTGACGAAGAACAGAGGGATATGAACTAGAAGAATAACTAGAATTCAGGCTGTTTATGACCATTACTTTTGTTATCTGTTCTTACATTTTTGAGTTTTATAGTGGAGTATTTGCCTGAACTCCTGGTATGTGCAGGGACAGACGGATGTAGAAGGAAAACTTTGCCTATGAATACTATTTAGGGACCACTTATTCCCTCATGAAAGGTCAGGCTATGTAATCCAAAAGATATTTTAATTTTGTAATTCTCATATTTCAGTGAATACAAAGTGATTCAGCTGCTCATCTATTCTACTTCTGTAACGTGGTCTATGAAATGCTGTCTGGAAATCCAGAAGCACTGTCCTTCTAATACAGCTGCCCCATCATCACTTGTCTTTTCTAGGTTGTCTCCTCTCATAAGAAATTGGATGGCTCTTGGTAATCCTGATTCAAATCTTTGCGCTCTCTTTGAAACACATTAACTCTGACAATAAATTGCTCACTAGCTTGACATAAATGCATGAAGAGTAAGATAATTGATCTGCTGTTCCTGAGAACATTGCCATAGTATTACATGTTTCGAAACAATCCAATTTGCTCCTCTTCTGGTGCAGACAGGAAGGTTAATTTCTTTTGCATTTATACAAACAGGAGGTAGTATTAACTGCCTTGGCTGGGTGCAGCATTTTACATTATCTTTCTCACCTACCTGGTCTAAAATCTTAGCATGTTAAAATCACTTCAGCTTTCTCTTCACAGCTGGTACTAGCTGCCACTGTTGACATGTGTCATATTCATCTAGATGTCTTCTCTACAGACCTGCCATTGCTCTCATCTCTGGCTTAGAGTCCCACCTCTGTGTACTATTGTTCTTCACTTTGCTGAAGGGGAAACATCTGCTGTTTTCTCAGTCCTATTTGTCATCTCATTTCCCTCCACAATACCTAAATTCGTGGACATTAACTAACTGATGTCTTTTGTGATGTTTGGACTACAAAGAAGATAAACATCTCAAGTGACCAAGAGATTTTTAGACATAAATCTTTCTGAAGTTTAATCCCACAGTTTTAGTGCAATTTGGAAACCACGTTAGGACTTCTCTCCCCTGTCACAATGCTTTTCTCCACCTCTTTACCATTGGAAATATCACTGTACCTCTTCATTTCTCATATGCCATGAAGAAATGATGGAACCTGTCTCTTATTGATTGAGTTTACATGCTCAGCTTTTCTTCATGTCATCTTCGAGCAGTGTGTCTTCTGTAAGTCATTGCTGTTTGGACTGCTGATGGGCTTTGAGATGAAACATGGCATCAAGTTGGGCAGGAGAGATTAGCCAGCCAAAGGCTTCTGTACAGTGTCTTTCTTTTTTAAATGTACTGAATTCCCTGTTGTCTACAGCCCTGATCTTAAAACTAAGTGCTTTATACAGAAACATACATTAATGCCAGCATGTCTTCTTTACTAATTGTACTGGTTTGAGGGGGGGGGGAGTGGCTGGGATTGTGG